CATAAGAAAACAGGCTGAGCATGGGCCAGGGGAGCAAGCCAGTGAGCAGTGCTCCTCCATGGCCTGTGCTCCACCTCCTGCATCCGGGTTCCTGCCCTGAGTTCCTACCTTGGGCTCCCTGATGAACTGTGACCAGAGAGATGTAGGTTAAATAAACTCTTTCCTCCCCAAGGTGGTAGTGGTCGGAGTGTTTTGTTACAGCAATGAAGAGACAAACTAGGACAGGCTTCCTCAGTGATGTGCTGTGACCTGCAAGATGTAAGTCAAATCAACTCTTTCCTCCCCAAATTGGTATTGGTCAGAGTGTTTTGTCACAGCATTTGAAAGCAAACTAGAACAGAAACTGGTACCAGGATCGTGAGGTATTGCTATGACAGATCTGACCTTGGTGTTTTGGGGAGGATTGTAGAAGCATTTGGAACTTTGGTCTGGAAAAGTCATTGAGTGCTTAGAGTTTGTTGCTGTGGAGTTTGGAACAGTTCTGCTGAAAAGTTGTAGAAAATGGAGGCCTGGCTTGTGAAGCTTCAAGGGAAGTGGAGATCATCAGGGCTGTTTGTGTGCTATTTTGAATTGAGAATCTGTGGATTCTGGTCAGCTGGGGCTGAAGAATCAGCTGTGATTAAGAGACCAGAACCTGAAGTAAAATCTTTGCTTTATTAGGACAATTGATGCTGGTTAGCTGGGGCTGAAAACTCAGCCGTAACAAGAGACCAGCATCATCGAGGTGAAATCTTTGGGGAAGAATTTCCTCAGGGTCAGGACACAGAGGCTGTGGTTCGAGAGGAGGCCCAAGCCTCCATCTCTGGCTGGAAGCAGGACTTGGTAATGTGTAAGAGTTTCCTGCATGGTTCTGGTGTTGAAAGCGTGAAGGGGTCACAGAGAGCAGCTGAGGCTTGGCACCCTGAGAGGCCAGGAAAGGCCATAGGTGAAAGTACAGGCTCAGTGCAACGAAGACCCCAGGACTGAAGGGGTCACAGAGAGAATCTGAGACTTTGCACCCCAAGAGGCCAGAAGAGCCCACTGGTGAAGGTACAGCTTCAGTTTCAGTGGAGGACCCCCCCCAGCTTTTTGGAGATGCCAGGACCATAGGATGACCACCAAGAGCAGCAGCAGGTGTGGAATGGAGTCGGCCTGGGTCTGGGAGCTGTATGTGCTATGGACGGCAGAGTCAGAGAGGTGGAGCTTTTGAAACCTGCTGGAGCCCAGAAAATTGTGAGTGAATCCCAGATGTCCAGCCTTGAGCTACTTTGCTGTACTTTGGTTTTGCTTAAGTGTGCCCAATTCTTCCCTTTGAAATAAGACAGTGTTTCTCTTGTTTTGGATTTTACCAGAGCCCACAGTTAATAAACTTTTAAAAGAGACTTTGAATTGTTAAAGTATTTGAACTTTCTTAAGGACTGTGGGACTTTCAAGGTTGTACTGTCTTATGTTGTGCTATTAATGTAAACATCGTATCTTGGGGATAAGAAATGGAAAAGTTGTGGTTTAATAGTGATGTGTTTGTGTGTTAAGTTGACAAGGGATAAATTGTACTGGATAGGTGTGTCAACTTGACACACCTCGATGGAGCGTCTCAATTGGGGAATTTCCTCCATTAGACTGGCCTGTGGCCACATGGGTCTGTGGGGCATTTTCTTGATTATATGGGAGGGCCCAGCCCACTGTGGGTGGTGCCACCCTGCGCAGGTGGGCCTGTACTATATAAAAAAGCAGGTTGAGCAGGGGCCAGGGGAGCAAGCCAGTAAGCAGCGTTCCTCAGTGGTCTGTGCTTCAGCTCCTGCCTCCAGTTCCTGCCCTGAGTTCCTACCTTGGACTTCCTTAGCGATGAGCTGTGACCTGCGAGATGGAAGTCAAATCAATCCTTTCGTCCGCCAGGCTGGTATTGGTCAGAGTGTTTTGTCACAGCAATTGAAAGCAAACTAGAACAGGCTATAATTGAGTCCTGGGAACACAGAGGGAGTAAAACATGGCCTTGCTGTTCCTCTAGCCCCAGAGTGGGAGGACAGAGTCATGAGGAGCAGGCTCTGAAGCAAGCTGACTGTGTGGGCCCCTGGTCCTACCCCCTCATCCCCATCCCCTGCCTCCCCCAAGGGTGGACTGCTGGAAAGCAGCTTGTCAACCCCCAGGACCATTGCAGATGGACAAGTGCATGCCCAGGCAGGTGCCTTTGGGGTGAACGAGGTGGAGGCTGTCACCTCACATAGCTATCTACCCCAGGCTCCCAGAGAAGGGGTCATGGGCCCTCTGCCCCTCAGTGCAGCCTCTTCGTGCCTGTGTCAACATCGGCATCCAAGCTGGGGACCCTCCCAGAGCACTGTGCACACAGGGCTCCTGGCAGCATCCTCCACAGACCTTCACTGGCATCCTGTGGACAGGCATGTGGAGCTCTGTAGTGTAGAGCTGAGCCATGAGCCACGGTCCATGTGGAGTTCAGAACCATCCAGGCTGCAGGGCCCACCACCAGTCCTTGTCCTACCCATCTGGATAATGGGTGCCATGGCGATCCCACCCACTCCCACTGCCGTGCAGAGTGAAAGGCGTCCTGTTATGAGAAGCGGTCCCTCCAGGCTTGGCTGCAGTGCTTGTGGTAATGTTTTGGCGGCTGCTCCTCCTGGAGGTGGGCTTCTGTCCCTGGGAGTTTTCTGGGGGCCTTGGGGACAGAGTCAAGGAGCACAGCACACAGCCCTCAGGGGGCAATTATGGGACATGGCCAGGGGTCTGCTTGTTTTGTGGTGTCTCCTCTCTCTGCTTTCTGTGTGTCCCACTTTATGTCCTGGAGGGGGAGGGTCTTGAGCCATAGATATGAATGAAAATAAGCCCCTCCCCCCGTTCCCCTGAGGCTTCTTGAGCTAGAATAGTTAGTGCTGTAGTTAGTTGTTGGAGTTGTTAGGACCACTGGCTGGTCCTCCTTGTAACTGGCCTGCTGTGTGTTTGAGGGTCAACGGTGCCAAGTGGCCTCTGATTCTGGTCACAGTAGGTCCTGGTGTTGAGTGACTTGTAGCCTCACTCTTGTGGTTTTGAGGTAAAAGTGACAAGGTGTAGTGTGCGTAGTTTAGATGTACCATGCAGTATACTATTCTCACTGTTACCCAACCTGCACCACTGTGATACCCAGATCACGTTTACCTCCTTGGGGAGAAACCCCAAGACCCTCAGCCTCCCTCACAGGCCTGGCTTCCCGCCACCCAGCCTCTGAACTGCCCTCTGTCTGCAGATCTGTGTACAAGTGAACGTAATGCTGTGTGGTCTTTGGTGGCTGGCATCTTCCCTCTGGACAGTAGTGTCAGGCTTAGCCACGCTGTGATCTGCTTCCATTTTTCACCTTCTCTGATGACAAGGAGCATTCCACCGTTGGAGAAGCCATTGGTTTGTACACGGTGGTTGGACGTGTGGCGTGTTCCACTCCGAGGCTGTTGGGAACCATTCGGGCTCCACGGTGAGCTGCAGTTCAGTTAGTTCTCTGGGTGTGTGCCCTGCACAGGAACCACTGAGTCTTGCAGTAACTCCATGAAATGTCAAACTTTTCCTTAGCACTGTTTTGGAAAGACCCTGGCTGCCTAGGTTTGGCTTTTGTGCTGGCTAACACAGAAGCAAGCCCCCAAGGCACCCCCACACAAGCCCAGCGTGCTGCTCCTTCTGACCGCTCTGTCACCCGGTCCCCAGATCTCAGGGAATCCCATGGAGCCCAGTTAAGCCCTCATTACTTCTGTGTCTAGAACAGTGCTGTTCCAGGGCCTGAGAAGGAAGCCGCTTCCTTGGTGGGAGGTGGGTCCAGGTGGAGAAAGAGCTCAACCTCTTGAACTCGGTGTGCAGTCACTACCTCCTCGCAAGAGGGTTGAGTTCTGTGGACAAATCCTCCAGGTCATGGGTTGAGATGCCCGTGAAGCCCTCCTCTTCCCAGCATCCCTCCCTCCTGGCTGGTGAACTACAGACTGTGACTTCTCAGTGTCACCAGCTGCATCCCTTCTCTCCCTCTAGCCCCAGTCTGCCTCCCTTTTCATGTCGTCCCTTCTCTGCCCCAGTCCCTGCCCATGAAGGGCTCAGCAACTCTCCTAGTATGGACACTGTGTGTCCAGGTGGTCTGTGTGCCCTGAGGGAGGCAGTCAGGCCAAATCCTCTTAGGCGGATCAGATTAGGCTCTGGGTCCTATTTCAGCACACATCCCCAGGTCTGCTGACAGCCAGGCCTGACACCCCAGGAAACATGGACTCCCTGGAGGGGTCATGTGGTCAGGTGTCACCTGTCTGTCTCCCTGAGTTTTGAATTCCTTCCCCAAGGGCTCCTAGCCAGGGACTAGAGCTTGGCATTACACTCAACGATGCCATGGAGAGGCTGGCCCTGGAAAGAGGCTGTTCCACAGCACCATGTCCCAAGCCCAGCTGTGTGCCAGTGTCCTGTCATGGGGCATTGTGCAGTGGCAGGTGGCACATACCTGCTGAGGTCCCACTGGCCACATGTGGCCTGGAACTGGTGCTGTGGAGGAACAGATGCATGAATAGAGGGTTGTCTGGGTTGGGAGTTGTATACTGTTTAAGACAATATAAATAAGATTGTATGGTTAACACAGAAAGTCCAACATGCATAAAACATAAAGGGATGCAAATCGCAGCCCTGCCACCCTGAGGAGGAATCTCTTCAAGTGCCAATCAGTTGGTTCTGAAAACCAAACAGTACAGAAGTTGGAATGTTGAGTCAGCTTTGCTCAGAGACCCAGCCCTGGGGCCTAAGGGTCCCTGTGGTGCGGTCCACTTGGGGCACCCCTCAGGACCTGGGGCAGAGCTCTTCGGAACATCCTTCCCATGTTCCCAGAAGTTCCCAATCTGCACGGGAACCTCTCACGAGCCAAGCCTGCACCAACTGGTACATGCACAGGGAGAAAGGGTCTACCCCCGGCTGCTGCTCCCGCCTCTCCTCCTGTTCCTGGTGTCAGGCTGGGAGAGGGCACCTCCCACTCAGGTGTACTGCCTGGCTCCCCATGACCTCAGATCTCTCCTTCACAGCCGTCAGAAATGACAGGAATAAGAAGAAGAAGGAACCTTCAAAGCAGGAGTGCGCAGAGAGCTACGAGATGACGGCAGAGCTGGATGACCTCACAGAGAAGATCCGGAAAGCCCACCAGGAAACCTTCCCCTCACTCTGCCAGCTGGGTAAATACACCACGGTAAGCACTGCCTGTCCCAGGCTGTGGGGGTGTGGGCACAGGCCTGGCAGGGACACTCACCCAATCTAGCCTCAGGTCTGCATGCCTCTGTGTCAGCCAGGCGGGGCACCCAGACCCCTTCCCTTTACACGCACGCAACCTTTGAACAGTAGCTAAGATGGTGAATCCATGAACACCTACGGTAGGCTGGGCTGAACTGTGGGCCCTAGCAGCACCAAATGCGTCTGCTCTCACAGATTTGGGTCTGGTCAAGCCAGTAACATGTTACACAGGTTGTGGCAGACACCTGCACAGAGCCCAGAGGGGATCCAGAGTAGGGTGGGGATCACTCCAGCTGTAGAAGCCAGCTAGGATTACAGGGCTATCCCCTGGGCCAGGGTCTGGCTTCCAGGAGGGATGTGTGTAATTTCAACAGGACCTGGAAGAGTGCAGGGTAGGGGTGTCCTGGGCCCCCTGGTGGGTGGTTCCTTGTGTTCCAGTGAGAAGTGGATTTTCCATGTAGAAATCAAAAAGCAGACAGAAAGAGAGGGGTAAGACTAGGTGGAAGGCATTGGTCGGCTGGTTAAGGATGCCCCAGGTGATGTGGACCTTGACTTTTCCAAGGAGGGTTTGCTTGTATTATGTTTGCTAAACTCCCAGTTTGTGGCACACACCAGGAACTCGGTGGATACTTGAATGAATGGATGGATGTAGCTAGACTGTGATGAGTGCTTCCTTGGCTCACACTGTTGCCTAAAGGTGCTACATGGAAATATACTGAAAATGCTCACGTTGTCCCGTTTGTAACTGGCACCCTGGGAAACTACAGTGGAAAGATGGCCGTCGAGGGGCGGGGGCGTCGAGGGGCGGGGCCGTCGAGGGGCGGGGGCTTTGAAGCTACCCTTGAGGAGCATGTGGTGTCCTGAACTTGGATGTTGGTGCCTATCAGAAAATGGCAGAGGTGGCCAGGGCAGGATCAAGGGCTGTGACAGCTCAGTGCTAGGACATGCCAGGCAGAGCCCTAGGGGGCTACTGAGGGAGCTGAGGCTGCAGGGTCACAGGTCCCTTGGCCAACCAGAGATTGGTGCATGTCAGGAAGCAGTGGTGGAGAACTGGCACTTCCCAGCTTGTAGGCCTCAGGGGCAGCTGGTGACCCCAAGAAGCCACAGGCTCTGGCTCCCTGAGGATGGCTCTGGTGTGTCTCACAAGGTCCTCAGAAGCTGGCTGCTGTCTTCTGATCATGCCAAAAAAACACACAGTTCACAACGACGTTGTGGGGCCTTTGCTGCCCTTGTCACGAGAAGCATAAACGCATTCTGCCTGTTGGGTCCTGGGAGTCACTGGTTCCAAGTCCAGGTCTGGTGGTGCTGAGGCCCACCATCCTAGGCCAGAGCAGGACAGGGCTGAGAGCCATTGTCATTCTCACTTGGGAAGGGTGTAGAGACTGTGGAAAGGTGACATTTATCAGAGCTCAGGCCAGGAGCCACATCCCACTCAGCCCCCCTCCGGGGTGTGATGTGAACACGTGACTTCCTTCTCATCCACTGTCCCACCTGTTTGTGTGGTTGCTGTCTTGGCTGGGATGATGAAGTGACCCGTCCCTAGAATGATTCTGTGATGGAGCCTGGCACTAGCTATGTAGCAGGGATGCGACAGAAGGACCGCCCAGCACATACCTGTTCCTTCGTGGGAATTGGCCCCCAGGGACCTGCCCAGTCAACAGCACAGGAGTGACTAAAAACCAGTACCAGTGAACATGACATTTATTCCTTTGGGAAACAGTTCCTAGCAGCCATATTGTGGGCACCATCTGCAGCTAAGTATCAAGGTGAGCCATAACCTGAAAAACGGGGACATTGGCTTGGGTGGGGCCCAAGGAGATGCTGAGGAGAAGCAGGTGCTGTGGGATGCAGGACTGTGTGGGGAGAGGTGGGAGGGAAGGGAAACATGGCTGCCACAGCTTACCTGGCTGAGCGAGTGCTGTCCCTTCCACTTGCCCGAGGGAGGATCCTGCACAGGTCACTGCAGTGTTCTGGGCCTCAGCCTCCCTGTCAGCCAAATAGGATTAGAAGGCTACCTGCCCCAGGTGGATGTAGGTCACAGGAGAGCACCAGGACAGCTACCGACCCGTGGAAGCCCTAGGTAGGCATGGTGACCTGAGAAACATGCACACATGTAATGGGGATGTGGAACACAGAAGATGGGACCACTCCACAAATAAAACCAGGAAGACACCAGCCTCTTAGGATGGACAGAGGACTCCAGGCCTCAGAAGGAAGCTCCTCAAGGGAAGCTCACAACATTCCCACAGAACTTCAACTCCATTATGTGGAAGGAATTCTGGAGCCCACACAGAGACAGGGCGGGGAAGAGACCAGAGTGGGCTAGACTATGAGACGCTGACTCAGAAAACCAGGACTGAAGATGTAGCTCAGTGTTAAGAGCGCTTGCCTAGCATGCACACGGCCCTACAGTCCACACTGTACATGCACACGGCCCTACGGTCCACACTGTACATGCACACGGCCCTATGGTCCACACTGTACATGCACACGGCCCTACGGTCCACACTGTACATGCACACGGCCCTACGGTCCACACTGTACATGCACATGGCCCTACGGTCCATACTGTACATGTATACAGCCATACAGTCCGTAAAGAAAAAGTTAAAAAAATTTTTGCTTACCATCTTGGCTAAAAAAGGCCTTGAATAAAGTGCTCCATCAAGGAGCTGCCAGTAAACCACCAAGGGGCGTTTAGACACTACAGGTCCTGCCTCACCAGTAGGTCTTGTTCTGGAAAATATGCCAGTCTGAAAAGGAGCAGAATCACCCAGGAAAGGGGGCTGTGCTGTGGCAGAACTGTCCTGTTAACTGGATTTGATGGCAGGGCTGGGCTTTTCCCAGAAGGCCCTGGGAGCTGCAGGTCACAACACTCTGGGAAACTAACAACCTTCCACAGAAGCCCACGGGACTTCCCAAGCACACAGGTAAGGGAGGCTCAGCTCATCCCAGACGGTGGTGCCTCTGGGCCAGCCCCCACCCCGCCCCGCCAGGCTGTGCCCTGCACCTGCTCCCCTTACCCTCCCATCCTCA